TGGAAGGGTGGTGGAAAATATGCTCCTTTGCAATTCTTGCATTGTCGTGATAGGACTGGAGTCAGGCTATGGTGCAGCAAAAGGGATGTCCTCCATTTTATTTATTTATTTATTTTTATTTTTCAATTTATATCCTGCCTTTTTCCTACAAAGGGCTCAAGGCAGCTTACATCATTCTCCTCCTCCATCTTACCCCCACAACAACAACCCTGTGAGGTAGGTTGGGCTGAGAGTCTGTGACTGGCCCAAAGTCACCCAGTTGGCTCCATGGCTGAGTGGGGACCAGAACCCAGATCGTCTGAGTCCCAGTCCCAGGCTCTTAACCACTTGTCTACACTAGCCTTGGCCACATTGGTTAGGGATGAAGGAAGTTCATGTTATTTATTAAAAATGTTTTAATAAATAAATAAATAAATAAATAAATGTTGCCAACTAACTCTTCTGGAGGGAAGGCCTCCACTCTATCCTTAGTTAAAGTTGTTGGAGGCAACTCAGGTTCTTTATACTACAAGACAGTATAAAGGGGGCAGAAGAAAGGGATGAAGAAATATGTATCTTCCCCCATCCACACTTGTCATGTTAACTGAGCTCCAAGATGAAAGTCCCACTTTAAATTTCTGGACCCCCGGTCATGGAATCATAGAAGAGCTGGAAGGGGCCAATAAGGCCACTGAGTCCATCCCCCTGCTCAGTGCAGGACCCCAAGTCAAAATAGCCCTAACATATGGCTGCCAGCAGCCTCTCAAATGCTTCCAGTTTGGGAGAGCCCATGACCTCCCTAGGGAGCTTTTCCTGATGTCCAGCTTCCATTTGGCTTCTATTAACTCAAGCCTATTATTCTGTGCCTCTGTCTCACCAATTATCAGGCAGCCTGTCTAATTTGTATTCTGTCCTTCCTTCAAAGAGCTCTGGGTAATCAGACATTATGGACCTCTGTTTGGAGTTCTGCACACTGGTATGCTAAATGCATCCCGTAAAAATGTCACTTTTTTAACAAGGCACTTTGTTAAGGCTCAGTGTCCCATGTGGCGGTCGTCTAGACATGCATTGGCATTCGGAGCACACGGCAGATGCATGTGTGATGTTCTGTAAATGCAGCCATTATCGCTGTCGTCTTAGCACCTTGTCTATGCTCTACAACAGCTCAAATGTACACTGCTAGTAGTAACAATGGGCCAGGGAGAATGATTCTGGCAGCTAGCCAATGAAAAAAAATTGAGGCCACATCCTGTTACCTGGAAGGAGAAGGGAGACTCTACACAAGTTGCCTCTGGGCCTCCGGTAGCTTCCTCTCCCTGTGAGAAATTTGACTGGGGCCCAATCCTGCTTTTCCAGCAAAGCACTCGAATGCGGTGCCTTCCACTCACAGGGACATGTTGGCTGGGAGACAGGAAGCTTGGTCAATACTATCCATCACACTTAATAGCTAAGCAGGCATGAATTTATTTATTTAAATTCCCATGCCCTGCCTTTCTGCCAAAACATGCACTGAGCTGCTTTTAATCTTAATAAAACACCTACTAAAAACCAACCATAAATCATACTTTCATCTAAAACTTAAACAATACGACATTTAAAATGTGACGGAAGCTTTTGTTTTATACCACAATGGCTCATATTTTCAACATTGCATTTACATACACACATACAGACACATTTAAAATATTTTAAAAAATAAATCTATTTTTTATTTCTATACCACCAATAGCTGAAGCTCTTTCGGCAGTTTGCAATAATTATCCATGATTTTTTAAAAAGTAAATCAATAAAATGTATAAACTGGATGTGCTATTGGTGGTTATTTTGCTTGTTTTTGAAAATGCAACAATAATCACTTGACTTGAAAACACCAAAACCAACAGACCTGGTGTCGAATAAAAAGGGCTTTAATTAGTTAAAACCAGTCACATCAGGGATTAATCACATCCTCCCCTAGAAGGATTGCCACAAAAGGGGAGGGGGAGTCCCTGTCTTGAACCTCACCCCTCACCTCATTCACACGGAGGGGGAACCAAAAGCAGAGAAGGGGTGCATGAATGCACAGTGCTTGAGATTGTTAGGATTCTCTGAACATCATCCTGATGCTTGTCTCATGCCCTTTTCCAATTTGTGTTTGTTATCAACATGAAACTTTTGCAAATAGGGCAGCAATCCAACAGAAATTTTGTTCAAGTCTGCCCAAATTTGCACTTTTTTCCTTAGTCTTGAACAGGGCTGATTCAGTTTACTGAGAAAGTTTGTGCAAGTTAAGAGAGGAGACCCAAGGGAACATAGAGAGAATTTCTATCCATTGGAACAGCATCTAGGCCGGGAGAGAATTTCTTCTTTTGAGCTGCTAGTGAACGTCATGCTAGATTCTACCTCGTGAGCCAGTTAACTCTTCTTTCAGGGTGACAAAATGACAAACCATCCATTGTGTCTTTTGAACTAAAAGAAAGCAGCAGATTTGGAGATGACTGTGTTTCTGCACTGGCAAACCCTAGGGTGTTTATTATATCACACGCTAGGAGAATAACAACACAGCTATTTACACTGTGCTCCACAGTATAGTTAAAGCCAGCACAGAGAGCAAATAGCAGCTGCTAACCCCTGCTATTATAGTATAAACACACAGCATCACTATTAAAGCGAAAGCAAACAGGACAAGAACTCCAAATCCAGGCTTCCCCTTCCCTCTTGTCCCTGAACTGCCCCGGTCTGATCGTGCTTTCATTGCTGATCGGCCTCTTGAAGAAGGAAAGTGTGGGGAGGTCCCCCACTTCAGCCACCAGACTGCAGCATCCTCACCTGCTGAGAGAGGCATGCTGCAGGCTGCTGGTTGCTGCAGCCCACCCAATATTTGCTTGTGAGCACACCTGCTGTTTGGAGGAGGATGAGCGAGGAAGGCTTGGAGCCAGTAGTATTGTAATTGGGGGGCTAACTCTTACTGGAGGAGGAGGAGGTGATGGTGGTGATTGTGACAAGGACAGCTCCATGCAGGCAAAGCAACGATTGAGCCCCAAACGCTGTCCATGATGCTTGTGACCTGCATCTCTGCTCACGGAATGTGTAAGGTTTTTTCCTCCCCTTTTGTAACCGTGCCATCACGCTGTATATCCATAGATGGACTCAGAGAGACAGAAGTTGCTGTCAAAAGAGCTACTAACTGTGGACTATAGGCAGCTGAACCCAGAAAGATAAGGCCCTCTCCTTCCTTCAGGAAAAAGAGAAATTCAGTGCTCCTATTAACAAAATCTTCATTTCAGAAGGGATCCATTGGTACTAATTAAGCCTTTTGGTGCACTATTAACTGAGAAGACCACAACAGTGCTTGACCAGGCTACTTATTCTACTCATAAATGAATATCTATGTGCACACATACAGATATTTGCATGTAGGCAATAGCTATAACTTAATTAATTAAAGCAAAGTAATTTGGTGTAAGTTTACTTACTGTACATCAGAGATGGTGTTTTGCATGATTTCTATATCCACGTATTAGGAAAGGTATGGACCAGAAAAAAAATGATGGAGGGTCTGTGGCTCTAAGCTGGGGGCCAAGTGCAGAGAGAGTGCTCTGAAGCAGCACTGGAAAGTTCTCCTCCCTGGCTGAAAACCCAGTTGCCCTAGAGAATGGACTTTATAATATCTTTAGGAGTTTTGCAGAAAATATGTTTTGATCAATATATACCTTATGATTGATGTCATGAGCATTGATTTGTTTATTTCTAGATTGCCTGTCAGGGTTAGCCCTCCAAGCACTCCAAGGCTAGCATAACCAAGGGAACCAAGGTTCAATTTAGATGCCAGGAAGTGAACACCATCCCCACAATGTGGGTTAAGCTTCCCCAGGACTTTTTTCTGATTGGTGGTACAGGGATGGTGATGGCCATGCAGAAGCTTCAATAGCTGAGGAGCATAGCAGGGGTGATGGGAAGGGGAACTGATCTTGGTACTTCTGCTGTTTCCTCTCCCACTAGGGCTAGGCTTCTTTGTCTGAAACAGAAATGCAAAAGGACATCCCCTGACAGATCAGCAGAGTTTGAAACCTATATAGCATTTCTGTACTATCTGCGTGAAGTTCCACCTTGTTTTCCATCATCTACCCTAAGTTGCTGAGAAGCCCAGCAAAGCCAGCAGGGTTGAACTTCCCTGGTCCATTCCCTGGTGGGAACTGTTGCAGATGCAGGAATTCCCTTTACTCAGACAGGGTCCTAATTGCCAACCCAAATGTTCTCCAGAGTTCTACATTTTACTGAACGACATCTAAGGCAGAGGAGCATAACCTCAGGGCCAAGCCCAGCAGGGTTCCCCAGATAGCCAACTTCCCCTGACCCAAGTTCTACATGACTGCTGATCATCTGGGGGTTTTCCACCCCATGTTCAGGTTCCCCTCCTAAAAGGTCAAAATGCCTCTTCTAAGCCTGAGTGACTTACAAAGAGGGCTAAAATATGCTGGTATTTCTGGTGGCTCCCTTGGCCTTGAGTCCCACCCACCATTGGAATGGGGCTCCTCTGAAATGCGAATCAGTTCTCAGGCCTCAGGTTATTCTGTGACTTAGGACTGTTGTTTCATCTTCACTATCCAATTGTGTGTGTGTTTGTGTGTGTGCGTGCGTGCATGTACGCACGCGCCTGTGCACAAGTGTGCATGTAGAATTATTTTGAAAATGTCGAAGGGGAAGAGAATAGGTTCTGTAATAAAATTCTGGGAAGAAGAAAAAATATTGGGAATGTATTTTCTACCTGTCCGCGCACACATAGTATTTAGCACAATATCAGGTTCTACTGGGATGCTGTTCTGAACAAGAAAGCCTATTAAGTTGATGTTTTAAAATGGGTATTCTATTTTTCTTTTTCTTTTTTTTGGAACCATGCCATTCCATCTATCTCTTAGCAGTAATTTTAAAGTTCAGTAAACAATAAATAGTAATCTGTATTTTCTTCATTGAGGGAACTGGGAGATATTAGAAAGAAATGATACCATGGCTTTGTTAATTTACTTTCGTTGTTTGTGCAGATTGGAGAAACACAAGGAAATTAGCCACCTTATTAGCCGAGAAGTAAAAAGCCTTAAGTTTGCCCCCTTCAACCTGGCAGTCTCCCAATGTGTTAGGCTGCAACTCCCAAAATGGCCATGCCGGCTTGGAATGATGGAAACTGCAGTCCCACATACCAGGAAGGGGCAGGTTGAAGAAGTCTGCACTGTTTGTTATACAGGAGAAACCTCAGAGACATTGCACAGCTTGCTCACTGCCATCCGGAGCCACTTCCATTAGAGAGGCTGAAGCCACACAGTAAGTGCTCCAGAATGATGTCATGCCTGTTGCATTATGCATGCTCAAATGTGCAGATCCCCAAGCTGCTACATGTGCCATTTGTTCCCCACCCTTTACTAAAATCAAGCTACAGCAGCCACAGTGACGGGAAAAAGGCTGAGATGCCGTGTTTGTTCTGTAGTTTCTTTGTAAGAGGTTCACAGTAGGCAGTGCACACGCTTTACTCTCCCAGCTTCCTTTTCACATTACTCCTGTTCTTCTCTTTCCTTCCCCTTTCCCCTCCAGTTTTTCATCCCCGTTCCCCAAGCTTCCTGGGGAGTACTGCTAGCATGGTTAGACTACAGACATTTTGCATTCTGACATTAAGAACAAAAGCGTGCTTTTCCCAATTCTTTTTAGGGGATGATGACTGGCAATTAAATCCCACTGCGACACTGGCAATGGGACAGCATCTGCCTTGCGTAGGGGCAAGAGGAACCGCCCACACTACTAGCCCAGCATCCCCTGGTACCTGCCACCCGAGGCAGTCCCCTTATACTGTGGTGACTTAGGGTGCAAGAGCACAGCAATCATGGGTTTGAGTTCATGCTTAAATATGAATACAGGCCTGATGTTTTATGTATGTGTGGAGATGGGGAACAATGAATATGGATGCTTTAAATCTTCAGACAAGGGGTTTTCTTCCCCTGTAAGAAGAGACTTCCTTTGTCATTCTGTTGGGGGGTGGGGGGGAGGAGGGGATCTGACTCAACAGCTTGGTAGCAGTTGTAGGCCGGCCTTTCTGCTCTTCCCGGATTCTCATGATGTCACGCAGAACCTCTCTGGAGCAGTTTTGCATTTTCTAAAAATTTCCTTTAAAAAACCCTGATCATTCAACAAATGAATGCAAAAGTTTTGTGTAGCAGCTCTTTTCTTTCTTTCTTTTTCTGTTTAAAGGTGAATACCACCCTGGAACCACATGGGCAGCTGCATGGGGGACATGGTTGGCTGCTCAGCCACACTATAGAAAACTCATTCTCTGAGTCTAAGTTCTAAGAAAAATATCTCCAAAGGGGCTACCCTCCCTTGGAGTCCAATGAAAATTGAGCATCCTTATTAGGCATACACTGCAGACTTACTGTTGGAGACAGAGTTATACAAAACAGGGGCAGATAGCCTTGTGGTGAGAACAGAAAGGAGTATCCTGGGAAAGGACACGCAAAGAGCACTCCGCACTGCAAGATTTTGTGGCGAATTCCAACTTGTTCAATTCATCATTATGTGGACCTGTCATTTCAGCTGCGAACATGGAGGAAGCCAAGCTCACCCCGCACCTGAGGGATGGCTACGAACACTTAAAGAATAGCTCTGGCTTCACCCTTTGCCTCTTTTCCTTTCTTATTTTCCATCCCTAAAGGAGAGATGGGGATTTTGCATATTTTCCCTCATTGGGTGTTGCTAATCTGTACAAGCCAAATGGCTTTCATGGAGGGCAGGAGGAAGGGGAAAGCAACATACAGACTTTGAGTATCTTTGCCAAGTGTCCATGTTATCGGGCACATTCCTTATTGCAATTGTATTCCTCATCCCATATTTCATCTCACATTCACAGAACACAATTATTACCTCTACTTTGGATAACTACTGACTAATAGAATTACATCACTGTTTTGTTTTTTTTAATCTAAGTTCACAATGGTGCAGGAGTGCATGCATGTATATTTGTATGCGTGTTTGAAAGGGAGCTAAGTAACTCTACAGCTGATAACCTCAGAAGCCCATCCAAGATAACAGCATGATTTGTGCTTCATTTAGTAATGTTCTCTCCATTATGGGTGTCTATATGCAAGCCATCTGCTACACTCAGTTCAAACTAGAGATGACTCTAGTTTTTCTCGAGTTCCTGGGGAAGAGAAATTACAGCTACTGTAGAAAGAATGAAACTAGAGAGGACAATTCTTGAAAACCTTTGTCACAATAACCATGATATTCACTTGTTCTCCATGATGTTCACTTGGGTTCTGTCTGGCAACTTCCTTCTCCCATGCAGGGATATTCCAGGTTGGCTTAGGGCAGGCACAGCAAATGACCTTATTTCATTCATGCATTTATATAGTCTTTATTTCTGTTTCTCAAAGGAGCACAAGAAGGCATCTGTGATGTTGCTAATGAACAGCTTCTCTTCTGGCCAATAATTAGATTATCAGTCACATCAAATTTAACAGACCAATAACGCCATACCTTCTGGCTGGTTGAGGTTAGAATAGAGTGGAGGCACCTTTCGTTAGTGGAAAACAGCTCCACCCTCTAGGACCCAATTTTGCCCATGGAAAGTTCTGCATGCATAAACCTACCACCAGTGGTGTTCCCGGTGTTCAATTGTGGGCTTCCAAGTGGAGTACTCTAGTAGTGGACAAAGGACAGCTGGAGGTAGCTTTGGATGCAGTCCCTCCATTCCCTGAAGAGGGCCCCATCCACCTTGCCCGGGTAAAGCTGTCATAATTTCCCCTTATTGAATTCAGTGTGTGTCTGGCTAGGAGGTGAGGAAACGCTGCCCCTCCCTTCCTGCTGTGACTGCCAGCCACCACCAGAGCTTTGGAAGTGAGAGCTGACCCAAACCGCACCCCTTCACATAGTGGTGGGAGAGGGGCAATGAGGGACCGCACCCAGAGGCCATTTAGGCCCTCTCTCGAGCTGAACATTCAGCCTTGGTTTTCAGTTCAGACTTGGTCCAGTTCAGCCTTGGTTTTCTTTAGATTTGCCACAACGCCATCAGTGCCAACTGAAATTTTCTTCTCTTATTTGGTCCCCATGCATATTGTGTGTCTGCATGTGTGCAATAAATTAAAAGGGAGACAAGGGACTGAGTGGAAAGATTTGGGGTCTTTGTATTTACGCACAAGTACGTCAACAAGCAAATATCAACTGCACACAAAGTGCTTAATGTAGCATGTAGTTTAGCTTAAACATGCACAATAAAAGACCTTGCTGGGGAAAACACACGCACACAAATGTAAGGCTCATAACTTGAAATTAAACCCTTTCACTTCTCTAGTAAGCAGGTATTGATTGTCTACACTCATAGTGCGAATAGTTGCTGTATTCTGTCACTTGTTACTTAAAAGCTCAGAGCCATTGTTTAGAAGGTGTGAAAGGTCTTAGAAACCTTTGTGTGCTGAAGAGCTCCTGCCTCTTTAAAAATTAAAGGCAGAGCAAGGAAGAGACAAGTCATGACAGAATGTGATGAACCTGCCAAAGTCTGCAGATCACTGGAGAAAGAAATAGCATTGTCTGTGAGGCTGATTAGAGCTGCGATTGTTTTTGCTGTGCGCTGGCAAGGCCATGGAAATCGGAGGGAGAACTCCTGGCAGAGGGAGAATACAGCATCGCTGTCAGTCAGGGAGGTGTCCACTCTTGAATATCTGGGGTGCGGGGAGGGTAGCCACTGAAGCCTGAAGTCAGGATGGGTTGCAGGGCCCAGATCAATAGCTGGCAGACTTAGGATGCTTTGACAACGTGCTGGCCCAGTAGGCATGTGAACAGATCACCAGATTCAGCCCAGAGCTTCCTGATTCTGGAAGCAGCCCAGTTCAGCTGAGACCAATTTGGTCCGTTTTCTCTGGGAAGGGACAACTAGCAGAGAACACTGAAAATCAGGATGCTCTTATAATATAATACTGCATCAACCCTCACCCAATGCATGGAAGTGGGAGAGCCCTGGTAAAGCCATCAACTATGATTAAATGCTGGAGATGTCAATCATAAGCTACACCCCCTCTGCTTCCTTCCTTCTTCCCTCTCCCTAGTCTTTTCCTCATATGGTGCACTTGGAGAAATGCACTGATTTTAGGTGGCATACTGTCTGTGCCATGGGACCAGTCCCAGTCCCAAATTTCCAGGAGTGTTTCCATTTGGATTCAACCCCCTTCTGAGATGCCCTGCTTTGAACTTAGACATCTTTTGAATGAGTTTGATACAGTCTGGGATTTGGCTGAATCTGAAGCACATCCCTTCTGGTGTTCAGTCCCTTTCCGGGGCCAGATCCTGGAGTGTTAGCCCAAGCAGCCCATCCCACTCCAGTGCCAAGTCAGCCAGCACTGCTTCCCACTCTTTCTGCCTTACTCTGTTTGAATCCAAGTGATGTGTTCTTGCCTACCAAGTTACCCTTGACCCTGGGCTGGCTGCTCTCCTTACTTTTCCTTTTCCAGAGGTCCTAGAACCCATAATGTCCTCCCTATCCCACAGTCCCCCTGCTTTTCCTGCCATTCTTACAATGGGAAATATGCGCTTTGCTGCACTAGCAGAAAGCCCCTCCTGGCTGTGGCTGGGGCAGTGTCCCAAGCACTTCTCCAGCACAATCTGGTGCAAGATCTGCTTCTCTCTGAGAAGGGAGGGTACGGCACTGCCGCTGGGTGACTGGGTGGGGTGTGGGCCACCGAATGCCACTGCCAGGGATGGCCTGGGGAGCACAATCCACCACTGCCAGAGAGAATGCAAGCCAGTGCGCCATGCCTTTGCTGGGAGCAGGGGTGTGAGTTGCCAGCACCTCCCCCTGGCTTCCCTCAGTAGCCTTTCCAGAGTGAGGCCCCGATGCGGAGGGCCTGAAGATTGCCCTTCCTGCAGTGGCACAGGCGATCTCCAGGGTCGCATCCCTGCCATGCCTTCCCTTCATGAAGGACTCTTCGGAGAGAGGCACTTCGCTCTGGTGAAGGTCATTCCCTTGCTGCAGCTGGTGCAATTCTGCAGAACAGCTGCCTGCCTGTGCCTTAGTCAGGATGAGTCATAGGACAGGCAGGGCAGTGGCTGCTCTGGAGAGCCACAGTGGCTGTTTTCCTGCTTCGGTGTTTGCCGCAGCAGAGCTTACTGCGTGCCTGCCTCTGCCACCTTTCCCCATCCATCTGCTGCCTGAGGTGGGGGCTCACCCAATGAGCTTGCTTTCTTCAAGTAGGACAAGTCCTGGGGTAAAAGCTTCAGCAAGGGCATCCTATTTATGCACTGATTGTTAACTTCATGAAATACAAATTTTGCTTTGCCTTGAATTCCTTCTCAGTTGTCTGTCTTAATACTTTGGATACAATCCTATGCCCACTTACCTGGGAGTAAGTGCCAAATAATTCAATGGTATTTGTTTCTGGTATGACAGCATACTGATGGCATACCATTAAACGATGATATATGATTCTATTGTTTATTATCATAAGTAATGGGAATTGTGGTAAACATGCGGCATACTAGCAATGTGTGCTAATATTTGCAGGTAATTGCAGATCATTCCAAAAATATCAAAAACCTCCTCTTCATGAAAGGGAACTTGAATACACACAACAATAGCTACAGGTAATCTGCGGAGCTCGTAACTGTCTGTCTATCCATTGAGAGAACAGTGACTCATTTATTAAGTGCGCTTATAACGTAGCCATGAAATTCTCCTTCTGCCTCTTATGTGCATGCACTGCTTCCTTCACGCCCTCACAATATGACAGTTTTCCTGCTCCTGCCCCTTACAGGAAACAGCAGTAATGGCCCCTTTCCAGTCTTTCTTGTGGCTGAAGTTGGCCTTGTGGAAGGCAAGAGGCCTTCTTCAGCAGTGCTACAAGGCATGAAGGCATAAGCAGATGACCTGCAGAGGCGAAGGCGCCATCCTGTTCTCCTGTTGATCAGGAGGACTGATGTTATGAAGACTCGTGGGGGCGGGGGTGCATGGAACGGAGAAGCTGAGGGAACATCAGTGGCAGCTAGCTTGGCACTCTCTGGGCTTCCAGATTTAGCCGAAGGGGCTGAGTGCCATGGGTGAGGTCTCCGGCCCATTTGCCAATTATAGTTGTAGGACCTGGTGCGGTCTTTGTGCATGCCCGTCATAGTTCGATCCTATGTATGACAAGCATGCACCAGAAAGAGAGCGAGAGAGAGCTGCAGGCACATTGTTAACGCAGCCTTAGTTCTTTTTCCATGAGACAGGAAAAAGATGCTCTGGAAGATATTTTCCCTGCTTGCTTTGTAATGACACAAGCTGCTCTCTTTGAGCAAACTGTCCCAATGAGGGAGTGTGAAAGTTATGGTGCCCGTAAAGTAAAGAGTTTAACATCTGAGAAGTTGAATGAGCAGGATTGTGACAGCAATTATTATTATATTACGTTTATATCCAGGCCTTTCTTCCTCTTGCAAGGAACCCCAGGTGGCTTGTTTGATCCCCCTCCTCTCCATTTTATCCTTACAGTAGCTCTGTGAAGCTGGTTAGGCTGAGAGTCTGTGACCGGCCCAAAGTTCTCTGGTGAGCTTCAGGCAAGTGGGGACAAGAACCCAGATCTCCCGAATCCCAAAGCAGCACTCTGCTACACCAACCGGGCTCTCACAACGAGAAAGACGGTCTTTTCAATGCGCTACATGTCATTTTCATTTATTCAGTTTATGAGCCTCTCACCTTACATAATACATAATATATTATGTACATAATAAAAGTGAAACTAAAAACAGTAATAAAACCGCATAATACAACACATGAAAAAGTATTGTTTTTTTAGGCTTTAACAAAAATTCAGCACTGAAAGAGATAAATAACTGCAGATCTAAAAACAGGAAGAAGGGGATTCTAAAATGCAGCATTAAATATATGAAAAATAAAGCAAGCAGCTGCTGAAATGCTCTTAAAAGTCTATTTCATTTCATTTATTAAATTTAGTCCTTTGCTACAGTACTGATGAAAATTGCCTTTCCTGGCTGGTATTTATTTCATATTACATT